AACCAAACAGCCAGACAACTTATCCGGATCAGCTGGTCATCAGCAGATTATCAGGATAAGCTGCTTATCAGCAGAAGCTGGATAAGCTGCAGCTGCTCCAAACAGACCCTCAGTGTGGGCCACGCAAGTATATTTTAGAAGGCATTATAATTAATTCATTTTTCCTACGTACAAGAACGACGATAGGGCCTCATTTTTAGTATGAAATTGTTTGTTTTTATCGTTATGATAAATATGTAACTAAATTAACCTTCTGACAAAGCTATCATTAAATCTATGTAATTATTCAATGCTATCAAAACATATGAAAAAATAGTCGAACACCCCTTACTCGGCCTAATTTTTCTGTGCGGACTCCTGACGTAGCTCTATATGCGACGGAGGTTATTCTTGAGTTATTTTCAATTTATTTTTTAAATTATTTTCAATATTTCTAAAATAACTTATAAATAGCCCGCGGTCTTTATTTTTGAGTTATTTCAAGATTATTTAATATAACCCAAAAATAACCTGAAAATAACTCATGAATAATCTCCGCCGCACGTAGAATTACGTCAGGAGTCCGGACAAAAAATGAGCTCCGTTACTTGGGCCCATAGGAAACTTTTTTTCCTATTTATATTTATCTTTTTAAAAAATTTATTGATTTTAAAACAAAGAAAATAACCCAATTTTTAAACGCTCAAAATTAAAACTTATTTCAAGTATTTTTTTTTTAAATAAATTGATTTATTTTTAACCAGACATTTTATTTAAAATTAAAACAAATAAAATAAATGAAAATAATAAAAGATACTCTCTAGATATAGAAGTTCGAATGATAGGACACAATTACATAAAACTTGATGTATAAAGTGCACATAAAAATCAAATCAAGATGAGCACAGCTTGCATTCGAAAGAACAAATATAGCAAATAAACCCTTCAGTTAATAATCAATTTAAAAAGTAAAACAATAACCGCCTATTTTTTCATGTCCATCAGCTTTCTTTCTTCACGCCATGTAATGGCACCACCGCACGCAGATATACGTGCAGTTGAACAATAAAAACTTCTCATTAACCAAAAAGTGTATGTCAGTGAGTCCACTTTTGATTTTTTTTTTTTTTTTCATTGGACGGCGCAAGCACCATCGCAGGCAATAAGAGCTCCATGTAACATTTCTAGTTATACTTCCAACTGAACCGACGCAATTTTTGTCAGAAAGAAATCAGAATTTCAGATTACAGAATACCACAACCCCCAGAACTTTTAAAATAGGGGCATTTACAAACATAACACTCTATTCTTATGTATTTACATATGTCAACTAAATTTTACTTTTTTACCTTTATACCACCACCCAAATATTTCATATCACATAAAAAATATCACCATTTGACCTTTTTAAGAAGTGGAATACACCTTTTTATGCATATGTCCCTGTTAGATAGGTGAATACATAGGAATTAAGTGGTATGCATGTTAATCTTCCTGTAAGACATCTATATACTCATACGCCCAACAAATAAATTATAACAGTTATCAATATATTAGATTAATGATCAGTACAAAAAAGCTTCTTAAAGCTCAAAAGCGAGGTACATCTGTCCAAAAAGAGTGAAGAAAGTTGAAACTAATCGATAGCAGTAAGAATCAAAGTAAGCCAAGAAAAAAAAAAAAAAAAAATCGAGTCGGGTCAAGTTGTTAAACCTAAACTGGGAGAACTTTTGGAGTTAAAATGCATCCATCTACTGTTGTCTTCTATGAACTTTTTGATCATCTGCTCTTCCCCTTCTTCCCACCACAATCAGAGCTGCCTTTGCTGACAGACTTAGGACGACCCCTTCCTCGACCAGAATTCTTTGCCTCCGAAGCTATCTTTTTCGCACCCTTGCCACGGCCTCTGCTGGAAGGTTTACCGCGTCGTTTACTCTTTCGACTGTCGGGCTCATCATTACTCTCGTCTTCGTGGTCATCACTATCGGGATCTCCATGATCATCTTCTTTGGACGTGTCCTCCTGCTTCCTTTTTGTGGAGGCTGATTTCACTTCCCTTTTGTTAGTTTGGTTTCTAATAGCACCAGAATTGTCGTCCTCGGTTCCTGCCGCAGCAAAAATAAAAATTTTATGAAAGATCAAACAAGATACAGTAGGTGTGGAATCGCAAGAGATAGTTGTACTGCCATTGCGCTGCTTTGATTCTTAAGTTTAGATCAAAAACAACAGAAGGAAGATTTACATACATAGAACTCAATTCCTATGTATTTACATGTCCAACACCTAAACTTCAATTTGTACATACACGCTACCTTAACCTATGAATTAGGTGTATTTCCCATTATAGAAATTAAAATAGTGATATTTTTTTTTTATGTGAATTGAGAGATTTGGACGGTATAAATGTAAAAATGAAAGTTTAGAAATGTTACTACATCAAAATTAGGTGTTATATATGTAAATACCCTTAGAAAAATCAACAATGTAAAAGCAGAGGTCACAGTTTAGCTCCTGAGCAAGATGTGGGTCATCATAATCTGAGCTCTTTTAACCAGGTTAAGCTCATAAAACCGAATCGAAGTAACTAAAACCTTATTCCCAAATCAGCTCTCCGAACTGAGTACAAAAAAAGAAAATGAAAAACACACACACACACACACACACACACACACACACACACAAAATCAATATAATGATTGTTTCATCAAAAGTTTCCACATCTTCAATGCCATAAACCAATTCACTAGACTTCAAACTGCAATAACCCACCTTCGAAAGTGCAAAAAAGATAGGTGGCGATTAACAGCCAAGAAACATGAAATAAACAGCAAACACTGCAGGGCTATTCGAGATCACTGTTATTTTTCATACACATTTACATACATCCCATACAATTCTTATGCATTTACATATCTAACACCTAAACTCTCAAATTTACATGTATACCGCTTCACTGTTTAACATCACATAAAAAATACAATCATGACTATCTTTCCAAAAGTGAAATACATTTTTTCATGCATAGGGTTATGAAACCAAAGTGGTACGAGTGTAAATATCAAGCTTTGGATGTTGGATAAGTAAATGCATAAAAAAGGGGTGGTATATATGTAAATTTCCCTATTTTTTACTTTAGTTTGGGTTTCAAAAGTATTTCGTTCAGTATATTTTCCAAATCTTTTTTTTTCCCCAAAAACAAATTAATGTTATATTTTTACTCTATAAAGATTGAAAGTAGAAAATGGCTGCCTTTCAAAAACAAGGATTGGATGCCTTTAAACATTGAAAATGTTATATTTCAATGTTTGTTTTTGACAATTGGATGCCTACTTGCGATCTTTGTTTTTAACTGTATGTTATATTTTTAGAGTTATATTTTCTCTTAAAATGCAGTCCAAATGTTACATTTCAAAAACAAATTAATGCATAATTTCAAACAATTTTTTTTTCAACAACAGAATATTTTTCTGTATGTAAATTATTGTGTTTTTAAAATAAGTTGATGTTTTATTTAAAATAAAAAAATAAATAAAATAAAGAAAAAATTGCATACATAGCACCATATTCTTAAGGATTTACCTAACTCACACCTAAACTTTCATTTTTACACACAACACTTTACCAATGGATGTAAAGACGGATTTGACTATTTAAAGATGATAATGAGTGCTACTTTTCATATGATTTTTGTAATTATAAAAGTTTAGGTGTTAGATAGGTAAATATGAAAATTTTGAGTGCTATGTATGTAAAAGCCCCTTAAATAAAATATAAGCATAAAATAGAAAAAAAAGTAAAGAAAAAAAAAAGACCATGCTTCTTTTATATTGGAAGGAAATTGGTAGGTTGAGTATAAGCATGGAAATCCAGAAATAGGTTATCTTCAAAATTCAAGAGTGCAAGTACAAAGGTGAGGAACTCAGCTTCGTAAACCAAGGCAACAATTTCAAAAAACAAATATTAATAAAAAAATCACGATGGGCATCTTCTAATTTAAACATCAATATCTATAGCATATTTTTTTTAAAAAAAGACCATCTACAGCAAAATAATAATAATAATAATAATATAAGGTTCATTTATAAATAAAATGTGGCATTAACATAAAAAAAGCCTTACAATTTACAAAAAAAAAAAAAAAAAAAAAAAAAAAATTCGGAATATGAATAAACTCACAGTTCAGTTCGTATGGGTAAGTCACACAGCATAAATAAAATAATAATATAGAAAATATTAATTCTAAATCATGCTAAAATTCAGACAATAGCCACTACGTAGATCAGATCCGGTTTTAGCTAGCAGAAATGGGGACAGGATTTATTGCTTTAAATAAGCCCAACCATCTCAGTCCAAGGGATTAAAATAAATTTAAGCATTTTTCAAATAGGATTGGATCCAGCCAATTGAAGAATGCATAAAAATCTTGGGTTGGATCGTGTACCCAAAGAAGCTTTTCTTGGCAAACCTAGCTTGCGTAAGCATGTATCTGGTTAGACCAACTTGCAGGTTCAGGCAATGTAAAGGACCAAATCCAATACAATGTTAAGCAGGTTCAAATGCAATGCCGTCTATGATCAACTAAAAACTTCCTCAAAAGACGAGAAAATTGCAATACATAACATTGAGTAAAGAATTTAATGGAGAAATCATAAATAGTTTTGTAACAATTAACTAAGTTACAATACCAAATGTCAAATGAGATGATGAAAAACAAAATAAAGGAAAAAAAGATTGGAATTAGCTAACAACCAAAGATTGAAAGTAGGCATATCCATAAAGATGACAAGAAAAAAGGCGTGAACCCAACTCTAATTTCACGAACGACAGAGGTTAATCAAGGTGCATAATCAAGCCAGCTTTTTAATTTGTCATGGATTTAATTTAAGAATGAATAAAACATTCTCTTCTACTATGTATATTACCAACCAAATCAGCAAGGACAACAATAAAAATTATGGACAAAGCATTCCCTAAATTCTTTATGACAAGAAATTCTGATTCTACACCATTTTCGCAAATCCGCAACACCTGTAGCCTTCTAGTTAGCTCAGCTTCGCAAATCCGCAAATCCGCAACACCTCCTTAGATAAATGTAATGCAGACCGGCTATGTGATTAGCTACCTCACAATTCACAAATTCCTTCCTTCCATATGTAGTCCATCAACCACTATTTTCTTGAGGAGAATAATGTTAAACCTTAAATTAAGTGTAACTAAATTGGTTAATTACTTTCTAGCTTTTTCTTATTTTTTCTATTTTTTATTTGTATTATTATTATTATTTTGTTGTTGTTGTTTGGACTACGTTTCTCGTATCATTATTGTATCTATTCTATTTATTAGAATAAAAAACATATACTAGTCTATCAACCAATTTTGGAAGGTTGCTCGATTAATTATGACCACTTCGAATTGTTTCAAGTTGTTTGGTTGCTTTGCTTGTGTGTGTATATACCTAAACAAAAGAAAAAATTAGGCCAAAAAGATACAAAATTCATTCTCATTGGTTGTACTCCCTGACAAAAAAGTTGTAAATGCTATTCTCCCAATAAAAATGATATTACACAACTATGGATGCAATCTTCTTCGAAAATTAATCTTTCTTCACAAAACACATATTCAAGGGAAAATACGAACTCTCTCTATAAATAAGTTCTGCAACAAGATTAGTCCTATTTTATTGGTTTCTCAAAATAACTCTTACACGTTTCAATCACTCATTCAAATACCCCAAAGGTTTAAAAGAAACAAAAAATTGTCTAGTCCAGATGACAAGAAAATTCAACTGACAAGATAGGACAAAGTATTTCTGAACCAAACTCAATATCTAACCTGATTGCTAGCATAACTTCATAAGGACAAGATAACACTGATTTTGAGGAAAAATTATTATGTGCGGCATCCGCACCTGCGGACGCCCAATAGGAGGACTGAGAGAGATGGTCCTGTCCCCTCTCTCCTCCTGTTGGGCATCCCCAGGTGCGTGCGGCACACCTAATAACTTTATGATTTCAAGGATTACATAAACAATACTGTTGTTGCTCTTAAAAAAACAAAGAGCTTCGTTCAGATACCCAATCAATCATTATATTTCTATGACAAATTAACTCCAAGATTTTATGCCTACGCTAAAAATCCATCAAGCATGGAAATTCCAAATAGTGTTCAAGAAGCTTTAAAAATTTCCGAAGGGAGAAATACAGTTCATGAAGAAATTCAAGCCCATCAAAGAAATGACAATCGTAAGCTTTCAAATATCCCTAAAGAGAATCAAGCATATAGATGCAAAATGAAACTTCAATTTGAAATACAAAATAGACAAAAGAATTGATTGATAGAAAACAGAAGTCATGGCAAAAAGTATCACTAAAAGCATACTGTTTTATCATCGAGAAACATTTGCCCTAAATGCTAGGATGAACACTAATAGAATAATTTTCTGTTTGCTAAAAATTTAAATTAGTCATTCCATCAACTTTACGCCAAAAATATATTTTTATATCTAAAACATAAAACCTACATGACAATATCACTCAAATAACAAAATGAAACATGTCTGCACATTCCAAAATTCCTTACATTACTTGAAACAATCACCATGAGCATAATTTCAAATTCACCATGACAATTAAATGTCTAAGAACTCGTAAGGATAATCTAACCACAATCTATTTACAAAAACAACATCTAAAGGTAAAATTTTTATCATATACATATATGTTCATGCCATCGTCTTAGAGAGGACAATGAAAAAGAGAAGCAAAAAAATAACATTGCTTATAAATTTAAATCCAAGGAGAGCGGCTTAAATATTCCTTAGCTAAAAATAGCAACATCAAGAGAGAAATATCTATCTCACAACAGAAATACACTGACCATACTAAAGGAGCACCTTAATGTGTCCTGAATTTTCACAAACACCAATGGATTCATTAAAAAGTTGGAACTATAGAACATTCAACCTTGGTTGATAAAAGTAGGTACCAATAGTAAGCAGAAAAAATTATCTACATATTTCATGCTAGACCAGATATTCATTTTCACATTAAGTTTGTTTATTTATGAAAAAATCATGTAGAAGAGCACCTTAATGTTGCATATAGGA